CCACTCAGAGCTACCTGCTGCCCTGGCCACACTTCCCCTGCAGGCGGGGGCAGCAGCAAGGGGCACAACCCTACGTGCTGCCCACGCTCCTCCCGTGCAGACAGGGGAAGTGTGACCTGGCAGCACAGAGCTTGCAGCAGCAGGCAGCTTCCCAGTGTGGCCCCTCTTGCCGCTTCGGGTCGCACACACTGTGCTCCCGGCTCTGTTGCCTCCCTGGAGCCCAGGGCTGGGTCTGGGTGGCAGCAGCTGTTTGCAGCTGTTCCAGGTTCTGTGTAGCTGCTGATAGCCATGGAGCTTGCAGCAGGGCTTCCATCCTCCCAGCCGCCTGCTGGAAGTAGCCCATGCTCCCGGCTGGCAGCAGCTACCCAGAGCTGGGGCCGGCTGCAGCTGGGAGACTGCCAACAGCTGCTGCCCTCCCACCCCGGCTCTAGCCCTGGTCCTGGGCTCCAGGAAGGTAGCAGGTGCTGGCACTGTGTCCATTGGGGCCGGGGCGGGGAGGCAGCAGATGTTTGTAGCCTGTCGGCTGCAGCTGGCCATGGCTCTGGGGTAGCTGCTGCCAGCCATGGTGCCTGGGCTGCTCCCATCAGGGCTTGCCGCTTCCCAGCCACCTGCTGGAAGCAGCCCAGGCTCCTGGCTGGCAGCAGCTATACAGAGCTGGGGCCGGCTGCAGTTGGGAGGCTGCCAACAGCTACTGCCTCCCCGCCCTGGCCCCGGTCCCAACACATGCCAAGGAAAATGGCCTTGTGTGCCATGTTCTGCACGTGTGTCGGGGGTTGCCTACTCTTGCTTTAGCTACTGCTCCTACACTGTGCGCAGAACTGGCCAGTTATGCCTCTGCACTGTGGGGTGGCAAGGAGATAGCAATGGAAGCGACCAGCATAGGGTATGAAGTAACAGAGAAGCTTGGTGACAACTTTACAACCCCCTACTATACTTCATCAGAGGGCTTTCTCCACTCTTGTAGCAGACATTTTCAGTGACATCACTACTCCCCTCCCCCCCCCAAACACACACCCCTCCTACTTCTAGACAGCAGCAGAGACAGTGGAAGAGCTATCAGGCCCGTGGGTCTTACCAGGAAGTTTCCACAAAGAGCTAGGACTGATCATCTGACGGGATTCTAGAAATGGTTTCAGTTTATTTAAAGGAGAACATTCATATCGTAGGGCCCTAGAAGCTGCTGGGAATGGAAACAGAATCAATAGCTAGATAAAATAATGAAAGAGAGTAAGTGAATGCAGGGGAGATTATTTGACTAGGGATTTTTAACATGATGGTTCTAAATCTGGACCATCCAGCTCTGCAGTCTTATCACAGTTATCTGTATCCTATTTCTTCCCTTTCCTGCTTGTTACACCTCTGAACTTAATTCCATTGTAAGTTTTTTACTTTTTTAAAGGGCAGGGATGACATTTTCCTGGTCTGGTACTTATCACAGCAGGATCCCGATACTGATTGAAATCTACTGGCACGTCTCTCATCTAGATGTAATAACAAATTACAGTGCACTGCTACCTCTAATCATGCCACTTCTTGTTATAGCCAAGTGTAACTATCTGATGTTAGCAGGAGCTGATTTGAACTAAACACATGGAAGGACCCAAGTCTTTGGTATGAACTTCATGATGAACTCCAGATGACAGAAGCCTCGTCTTGCGATTGTGCAGTAGGAAGGCACTGAGCTCTAATAAAGAAAGTATGAATAACTTTGTAACTTCTCCATAATGGATAATCAGAGAAGAGCTGACATGGCTGAGAAACAGGTCCAGCTGAAAACACTACCTTCAAACAGACTGTTATTGCAGTACAGAATGAACTGCATGTGCTAGCATATCCAGGGTAGCTAGCCTGGGCAACAAATAGCAGTGGCCCAGGCCGGTGGCATGTACCAGCCACTACAGTACAAGGTCTCTAAGAACCCTGGGTATAAACTCTGGTTTCTAACCATGCTAAAGCCTGTGCCATTATATTGTCATTGCTATTGTTCTTTGTGCTAGCTAGATGAATCTAACCCAGGTATGCTAGCAGATGCTGGATTAATGCATTCATTTTGCTGTGCAGACATAGCCACAGACATTCCTTTGCTGGTGTTTTACTCTCATGCCTGAAATTCCCTTTATTTGTTTTATGGCCTCACATCATTATGCTTAGATTGTCTTTGACATGCACTTTTGAAATAAACATTATTTATGATACCAAAATAAAGATCAGCTTGAGCCAGTTGGCTTGCGCATGGTTATTTTTAAGTGTGATTGTTGGACACAGTAAGTTAGAGGCAACACAAAAGGCTCCACAGTATAAGAAGTTCCTGGAAGGGTAGGATCTGCAGGAATAGTAAGTAAAAGTGAGACAAAGAAAGAGAAAGAGACAAAGAGAGAGAGAATTTCTGTAGCAAAGAATGCACAGAAATTGCACACTGGGTTTCTGTCAATGTTTAATGGGTGTCTTTACACATGCTCAGGGAGAGGGGCACTTTAATTAGAGTGACTTCTGAGAGCCACTCTTGGAAGCCACTCTAATTAAAGTGCCCTAAGTGTCTCTTGTATTCAGTGTCCTGCACTTCAAAATAGCAGTAGGGTGCTTTAACTACAGCTCACTCTATGGAGGTTTAGTTAAAATGCCCCTGTTGCTATTTTGAAGAGTGGGGATGCTGAATACATGTGATGATGAGGCAGCTGGAGCGTGCTAATTAGCACACTCCAGCAGACTCGATCAATCAAGTCTGCTCCAACATGTTCTAAGTAGAACATGTTAGAGCAGACATCGGGCATGTGTATAGTGCACTGTCACATTGGGCACCTATTTCAGCACACTGTTTCTGCACTTGGGCTTTCCTACTCTCTGTTGCTCTAAGCTAACTCTGTCTCTCTCTCTCTTCTTAGCATCCATTAGATGAGGGCTGTGTTATGACCAGATTCCTCTATTTATTAATATGCAACACCCAGTAGGAGGCAGTTAGTTTTGACTGCCATTATGTCCATTTTCTTACCATTGTTTTGCTAGCACAATCTAACATGCAATTAGAGTCAAATACTTTCCCAATGTTCTTAAGAAAACAAAGTACTTCCATCAAAAACATTGCCAAGATTTTATGAGCAAACATGTATCCTTTCCCAAAAATCAATCATTTTCCAAAGTGAAGGCAAGTTGAATTATCATCTACTGCCTTTATGGCAATAAACTGCTACTACTTCAAACGCTTAGACAGCAGCAGCTATACATCAAGAATGGAAGTGCATTAAAAGAAACTTAAGGCAGGTTTATTTGTTTCCCCATAAACATATGTGGTATAGCAGCCTGTGCTCTTCTCAAGCCAGTATTTACACAGCATTTCTGTAAGAGCAACTTAACAGCCTAATGATGCAAACATAAAAAGGCCTTTACCCTCTGGGTATTGAGCAAGGAATATTCCTTGTGTCCTGGGATACACTTGCTCTGAACAGATTTTGTAAAAGGAGGAAGGGATTATTTATTTATTTCCAAAAAAATCCCCAACTCCTCCACCCAAAAACCCTACATGAAAATCCACACTGCAATTATTAGGAGAAAGGGGGGGGAGGGGGAAATTTGGCAGTTGTATTTTGAGGCCAGCCTCCTGACAAAACAGCTTGCTGGCACAACTGGGTCTGACAGGGTTTGAAGTAGCTGGAATTGCTGCAACAGAGTGTAATTTGCGAAATGAAATCTAAAACATAAATCTTCCTTTTGTTTGCTATGTGCTGAATCCTTCATCCCTTGTTCATCCAAACTCAAGTTTTGTAGAGTGATGAGATAGAGTGAGGCTGTCCAGCTGGTGGCCTGTGGGCTGCATGTGGCCTGTAAGGGTTTAATCCATGACCTATGGGCTCTTACCCAGGTGCTGCTCACTCTATTGCTCTGCCTGTAGCAGCTGCCAAGATCTCTGGGGTTTCCTTTTGGCTTTTGATTCCTGTGCCTATCTGAGGGAGTGGTGCAGGAGCCTGTGGCTGGCATACTGGGGCAGGGGGAAGGGAAGTTGCCTGTGTACATGTACAGTGGAATGGCTGCTCAGATGCATGCTGGAGCAGTGGGGGGTACTATCCCCTTGGGTGCACAGTGTAAGGGGCACAGCTGCCTGCCCACCCATGCGTGCAGTGGTACGATGGAGCAAGGGCTGCCTGCATGCACACTAAAGCAGGAAAGGGATGTCAATGGCTAGGGACAGAAGTTACAAATAAACCAATTTAAGTTATCAGAAATTGGTTTAAAGCTGTAACAGAACAGAAGTTTAGTGCACATAAACCAGTTTCAAAATGTCTAAACTGGTATGAGATAAGTCGGATATTACATTCAACCATGTTTAGCTGATTTGGGTCAAGCTGGTTTATGGAACTTCTGTCCCAGACCACTTCTTGGTTTAAATTAAATCAGAGTCCCCCACATCCCAGCATACTTTTCAGCCCTGGGCTGGGCTGTTTGCTCCATAGAGCAGGGCTGGCCCTGCCACTCTCCTCCCCAGCCAGAGTTCCAGCTGGCTGAGAAGGAGGTGGGGGGCTGCAGAGTCCCCCTGACCACCACCCCTCCCTTGCTGCTCAAGCAGGGATCCCCACCTCCCATGGCAGGGGCCCCAGGGGCCTCTATTTATTAATATACAACACCCAGTTGACTGCCATTATGTCCATTTTCTTACCATTGTTTTGGTAAGTGTGTGGCACAGACCCCAGCCAGCATCTGGCCATACCCCTCGCCTCCCCAGATTAGCTAATGCTGAGAGAGGGGAGGGTGTGTGTGTGTGTGTGTGTGTGTGTGTGTGTGTGTGCAATTGCAATGTAAACAAAGGCAGACAAAACAGTGTCTGCTTAGGGCTAGAAACTAGTGTTTTGCAAACAAATGCACCCTGCAGATAAGAAGAGCTTGAAACCAATGAGAGAGATGCATTTGTTTTCTTTTGTAGGGCTTGATGGGTTGATAAGCTTTGTATTCTGATAAGCTCCCTGCTGGCTGCAATCTGTCAGTGTTCAAGAGGGGACAGAGAGAGGTGTAAGAAATGACCTGGTCTGCAATGAATGCGGTGCCTGTCAGTATGAAAAAGCAGGGTCAGGGAAATTGAAAAGCTCAGTATCATCAACAGATGCATACAATCCACACAAACAATCCTCCCTCCCCCTCCTGTCCTTGCCTCAGAGTGCTAGCTGGGGGCTGGGGGCTGGCAACACTCCCTGCCCCTTGAGTGGCAAGTGGAGGGGAAAAAGCCTGGTGAGGACTGCTTCCTCCTCCCCCTCCAGGCATACCCCAGTTGTGGACTATGCAGGCCAGGGTCGGGGTTTAAATCCCTCCATAATCATAGCAGCCTGCTGGGGCCTGGCCACCCCTCCCCCCACCCTCAGGTCAGCACTGTTGAAGGGAAGAGAGGGCTTGCTTTAGCACCCCGCCCCACAAGCTTCTAGCCTGAGCCACTTCAGGCATGTGCCCACATTTCCAGATTCAAAAGTGAATGTCTATTCATTTTCAAATCAGTTCAATCTCTGCAGGTTAGACTAATCTGTAAAGACTGAATCAATTCAGGCTTGGGCTATTTGAATGTCTGTCTCTAGCCAATGTGTACAGCAGAGGGTAGTGGGGGTGTTGTCAGCATGCAAGTGGAATGATGGGGGAGGTTGCCTGAATGAGGTGGAGCAACACAGTAAGGGCGATACCCCAGGGAGCCCTTGGCTTACATTACTGTGGCTCATGTGGTATGCATGGGCTCCATGGCTGGCAGCAGCTATGGAGAGCCTGGGCTGGCTGCAGCTGGGAGGCTGCAAACAGCTGCACTGGGGTCCAGAGCCCTGGCATCAGGTCCATGCTGGTGGCAACTGCATGAGCACCTCAGAGCGGATGGCAGAGGAGGGGCCGGGGTTGTGCTGCCTCAGGCCTCTCTCCTGCTGTCCGCTCTGAAGCATGCATGCAGCTCCAGAGTCCAGTGCAGCTGTTTGCAGCCTCCCAGCTGCAGCTGGCTCAGGCTCTGGGTAGCTGCTGCCAGCCATGGAGCCCAGGCTGCTTGCAGCAGGGCTTGCAGCCTCCCAGCCACCTGCTGGAAGCAGCTGAGGCTCCAGGCTGGCAGCAGCTGCCCAGAGCCCGAGCCAGTGGCAGCATGCTAAACAAAATGGCCTTGCGTGCCATGCTCTGGCAAGCATGTTGGGGGTTGCTGATCCCTGCCCTATGATTTTCTGTATAAAAAGGAAAACTCCCCCATGTTTCTTGTGCCATTTCCTGGGGCTGCAAAGTTGGCATACCATCATACAGGTCTGGTCAGTCCTCTAGGCATTCCATATTGCATTACTCCTCACCCCCCACTGCTGCAACTGGCTATTTTGGTATGCAGCCAGAACTCTGAGGGCTTTGCTTTTCCTTTTTGTTAGCTCTTTTTATAAATGAGCTCCTAGGAGCACACAAATATGCTGCACTTTGGCCTGCCTTGAAAGTGACCAAAAAGTTGGTTTGAAAAGTGTTTTAAATTTTTTATCGAGATCTTAAATTAGCAAGAGTCAAATCTTCCCTCCCACCAAGCATACAGATAGAGGTTTACACTGTACACTGAAGCAGGAATAGGGTGGAGAGATGAAGGAATCTTGTCTACACTGCCTCCAGGCTGTGTGTGCATGTGTACGCGAGTCCTACTGGGAAGCACACCTCACTCACTTGCTCCTATTCTTCCCCTACCGGATCCTAGAACTGAAGCCATGTAAACAGTTTAGAGCAGCCCTCAGCAGGCACCAGAAAAACAGTCTGAGAGTGGTGCAAGGACATAGGGCTGCTTTAAGGCAACTACTGTGCCTCATTTCTGATAGTCAGAGTGCACAGAATAGTAGCCATCAGGCAGTGCATCCCTGCTGGTAGTTCTCCCAGGCTTGCCCTGGAGGAGGGGTGGACAAGCTTTGAGAAGGGGTCAGGGAAACCCTGAAGGTGCAAATTCACTGATCTAGCACTGACTGTTTTCCCTGTGTCCTGCCATGAAAACCCCTCCATGCATCGGCTTGCTGGAAGTCCCCAGGCTCAGGGAAGCTGTCCCTGGCCTCCCTTCCATTACTTGCATGGCTGCATTCACCTGTGTGTTGACATGATGAGTGCAAGGGCTTTGGCACCAGACAGGAGCGCAGTATTCATCTGTAGAGGGTACCAGATCCTGGGTTGATCTATGGATGGTAGGATCTGTAGCATGTTGTAACAGTTTATAATATTGATTTGAAAGATACAACGAGGGCAATTCTATGT